GCGCTGAGTCTACTGGTAGCTGGGGTAGTTTTGACTGGCAGACCGACGACGAGAAAGAAGAGGAGCCGGTGAGCGGAATGCTCCCAGTGACCCAGGTCGAACCAAGCCAAGGCGGAGATGCAACCGACATGGATGAAGCGAAGTATGTTCATGAAGGGGCCAATCTCACTGCGGAAGACATCGAAAAGGAGATGGCGGTGTTACCAGAGATCTCCCTGACGGCAGAAGTTAAAAGGGAAGATCTCAAGGTCGGGGATCCAACTGAGAACACAGCAGAGGAGATTGATCGTCTGCGTGATATCATCTGGGAGCGGCGTCACCTTCTCATCGGCAAAGGGAATGCTTTACCCCCTGCGGCAACGGGGGCGATCTGTGACATCGACGTTGGTGGTGCACGACCGGTGGCTCAGCGTTGTCGCCGGATCCCGCCTCAGTTCCGTGAAAAGGTGTTCCAACTCGTCAGGGGGCTACTGGGGGCGAAGATTATTCGGATCTCCACTTCTCCTTGGGCGTCTCCGATCGTTATCGTCGTCAAGAAGAACGGCGTGGACGTCCGACTCTGTATCGACTACCGTCTGGTCAATGCTCTGACACGACTGATGATCTACCCCATGCCGTTGATTGACGACCTCCTCGAAGATCTCGACAGTTTGCTGTGGTTCCGTTCTCTCGACATGGCGAGTGGGTTTCGGGTGGTGAGTATGACCGATCGAGCCCGAGAGATCTCCGCGTTCATTACGCCGTTCGGCCTGTTCGAATGGCTGCGAATGCCGTTTGGTCTGAAGAATGCCCCCCAAATCTATCAGCGGCTGATCGACAATGCGTTATATGGCGTGCTGCGGATCTAGCCGGGTCAAGCTCGCGCGGATCTCGTCAACATTTTCGAGGAAGGTGTTCCTGAAGATCGATCGCTGCCGTTGGTGCTGGGGCGTCGCTCTTACATCGACGACATCTTAGTTGGAGCAAGCTCGTGGGACGAAGTGTGTGAGAAGGTCAAGAAGCTCCTAGAGGTTTGTGACCGCTGGAATCTGTCTATTAGCGCGGAGAAGAGCAGTTGGGGTATGAGCAAAGTCGACTATCTGGGGCATCAGATCTCCGGTGAAGGCCTGTTCACCAAGCCGAAAGATTTGGCAAGTCTGGAGGCGTTGAAGTTTCCCTAAACGCTTAAGGCTCTCCAGTCATTCCTCGGCAGTCTCAACTACTACAATCGCTTCATCGAAGATTTCGCAGTATATGCCACAGTGTTGTATGAGTTCGGAGATTCCGATTTCATCAAGGGTCGAGCCACAAACGTCAGCGGAAATCACGAGGCGACTGTGAGATGGGGCCACGCGCTACGAGCCTTCGATACCCTGAAGTTCAAGATGATCAACGCACCCATGCTCTACCATTTTGCCCCAGAGTTGGATCATGTTGTGATTGTGTACAAGTGGGCGATCTTTGCCTCTCTCGTTCAGTGTCGTGATGGAGTGTACGTACCCGTCAAATTTACGAGTAGGACACTGCGGTCTCACGAGATCGGGTACGACATTGTGGAGAAGGAAGTACTGGCTCTGCTAAGAATCCTCGATAGCTGCTTCACCATGCTGAGTGGTCGACACATCCGAGTGCTCACCAGACACACGACTCTCGCATGGCCCTTCCGCGCGAAAGGCTTGAAGGGACGGCTAGCTCAGTGGGCGGCGCTGCTCTCCCCCCCATTCGCTAGAGATCGAACGTTTATCGAAAGGCGAAGATGAGCTACTAGGTTTGGTTGCCGCCAGTATCACTCCGCGCGCAGAGATGGATGCAGCGTTGGAGGAGATCTCTCCGCAGAAGAAGTCGACGAGAGCATTGGCTATCCCGATGCCGACTTTTACGCCCGGAGAAAACGTTTGCGTCGTCAGCTTTGACGGATCGGCCAAGCCGAAACGAGTTGGTGGAGCTTTCAGCGCTGTGGTATGGGATGCTCCTGGATGGAAGGTTGTCAAGGCTGAATCTGGCTATTTACCGGACCTCACTGTGAGTACCATGGCCTCCTTCTCGGACTTCGTTTGATTGCCGATCTCCAGATCGACCGTCTCATTGTGTGTGGCGACTCCAATTTAGTCATCCGCCAACTGCGTGGAGAGATGGAGTGCAAGTCATCGGGACTCCAGCTCTTGCGTGAGAAGGCCAGAGTGATTTTGCGGTCTTGGCCGCAATGCGAACTCATCCACGTAAAACGCGATTGTAACCAACCCGCGGATATGCTGGCGGGACAGGCGCTGCAGCGTGGTGCCGGGGTAGTTGTCGAGAGTCACACCGACTACACGGACCTCGAGACCTTGAATCGACTGGACGAGCTCCTCAAGACGCGCGAAGAACGTGACGCCCATCCGAAGGTAGGCGCTGTCACGCGAAGCCGATCTCGTACTGTCGCACCAGCCGTGTTGCAGGAAGACGTCGTCAAGCAGCTGTGCTTGGAACGTATTTGCCGTGCTCAAGACGAGGAGGTGTGGATCTGGTCACTGAAGTGTTTCCTGCACGGTGATCTCTCTCAGATCTCGAGCCGTCAAGCCAAGACGTGCAGTAAACTGGCTGACAGTTACGAGGTCGACGAGCATGGCCTCTTGATGTACTGTCCAGTCGAGGGGCGCGGTGGTGATGTCGAGGACCGTGGATCTATGGTGAAACTGGTAATACCGAGTACACTCCACGAAGATCTCCTGCATCATTTCCACACAAGAGTGGAGGGAGGTCATCAGGGAGTCAGCCGAACATTCCAAAAGCTTCGGAGGCATTTCTACTGGCGAGGTATGTTCCGAAGTGTGCAGAAGTATGTCGGGGAGTGCGTCGACTGCGAGACGGGAAAAGGAAAACCCACCTTGCGGGGGCGATCGCCGGGCAATATCGCCGCTAATTACCCTTTCCAGGTCGTGGCTATGGATCATATCCCCACCCTCCCGAAGTCGTTCAAGGGCAACTCAGAGCTCCTAGTCTTCGTGGATCTCTTCACCGGCTTCGTTGTGGCAAAGGCAAACGCGGACAGGACCGCACCAACAGTGGCTGAGGCATACGAGGAATGCGTGTTTCGGCGGTACGGAGCCAGCGAAGTAATCAGGCACGACCAGGAACCGAGCTTCATGTCCGACTTTTTCCGGTCGTTTAATGCGCTGCTGGGCCAGCGTCATCGATCTACGCTCGCGTATAGACCTCAAGCAAACGGCACAGCGGAGCGGATGGTCCAGACTATTTCCAGATGTACGTTGAAGACGAGAACCAACAGGACTGGGATGAATATGCGGAGCGGTTGGTGTTTGCGTTGAACACATCGCACGACCGAGGACGCAAGGACACGCCATTCTTTTTGCTGCACGGGTGGGACCCTAAAACGACTATTGAGGCATCGTTGGCTGTTGGAGGGACCGGAAGCTGAGATCTCGACCCACAGAAATGGAGGTTCAAGATCCAACGCCAATACCAACGTGCTCAGACAGAGACTCGTCGTCTCCTCGCCGAAGCTCGTGAGAGTCGCGCGGAAGCCCACAATGAGAACGTACCGGAGTCACCCATTAAGGAGGGATCGCAGGTGTGGCTGTACCTCGACCGAGTCAAGGTCGGATACGCTCGGAAGCTCGCTCACATGTGGCATGGGCCTTTCAGAGTCGCCACCATGGTGAGCGACTACGCTGCCAAGCTGGAAATCAGCGGGACTGACTACCGTTGTTCCCTATCGTACACATCTCGAAGCTGAAGCTGGTCCGACAGTTCCCCGAACGACCCGCCGAAGATCTCACTCTTGATGAAAGCGAACGATTTGACTTTGACGAAGAACTTCTCCCCGAGGATAGCTGGGAGGCACAAACTCGCGGTGACAACGAGTATGAAGTTGAAGAGATCTTGGATGTCAAGACGGAGAGACGCACCCGCTACGGTCGACGGCTCAAGGAATATTTGGTGCGTTGGAAGGGCCACGCGGAGACGAATTGGGTCAAGGAAGAACACCTGAACTATGGTGGTCTGCTGTTCGACTTCCAGCAGAAGCGACGGAGCCGGCAGAGGTTCCATCTGATGCAATCGCGTGGAGAGGCCGATATCGCCGAAGAGTGAGGCGGTGTTGGGGGGTAGCGTGGTGGACGCTATCCGTAATGGTGGATGGTATTTGTTGCACATTTACATTTGATTGAGTGGAAGAAGAAATGGAGAGAAGAGCACGCGATGGAATGGAGAAACGAGGTTAGTTGTGATGATCTGGTCGGACATTAGAATTACGACGAACGAGTACTCGGGGGCGACTTGGAGATCCAGCCCCGTGTCGCAGTGCTGGAGGCACCTGGGGTGCGAGCGCGCGTCCGACGGCTGCTGAAACGCGCTCGCCACGACGCTCTGGGCCTGTGCGATGGTGAAAACCGGCACCGTTCGTGTCGGAGACTACCTTCGCGTTCCGTCGATTTTGGCCGGATCGCTGTCGCCGCCGACTTGGAGATCCAGCCCGGTGTCGCAGTGCTGGAGGCACCTGGGGTGCGAGCGCGCGTCCGACGGCTGCTGAAACGCGCTCGCCACGACGCTCTGGGCCTGTGCGATGGTGAAAACCGGCACCGTTCGTACCTTCGCGTTCCGTCGATTTTGGCCGGATCGCTGTCGCCGCCGACTTGGAGATCCAGCCCGGAGCCGCAGTGCAGGAGACACCGAGGGCGTGAAGGAGAGGTCGGTGGCTGTCGGACTAAGTGCAGTCCTACGCCTGGAGTTTGTGCTATGGCCTTGATCACCACAAATCACTTCCCAGAATGCACGGCTACCTACGACATGCCTTCACATCTCCAGTTGGGGAGATCTCCCAGTCATGACATTGACTGTGTACAATTAAGTTGTGGGGCGGGAGTGATATGAAATGGAGTCGAAGCCGGTGTATTACGATGTCGATAAAGAAGATGCATGCTCGAGGAGACTACCCACTAGCTACGTACATTGGTGAAGGAAGAAATGTCGGATGCTGGAGATTTCCGGTGGTCCTCCTAGGTCTGTTCAACTGACTCATGCTAGGCGATTGACGAGGGCGCCTTGAACTTGCCTCGAAGGCGCGTGTGGATGGGTTCGTTCATCGATGGGTGTTTGGCACGAGCGTTCCAGTAGAACAGGCGCCACGGCTCCGCCTCGTCAGTCGTTCGTAAGACGTGTAACAGATCTCCAGAGGCACCAGAAGCTCCCTTAGGGAACCACGGGCACGTTCCGATCAGCGGCAGGAAGAATGGCTCCAGAAGAATGTCCAAGTCGCACAAATGAGCCTTGCACAGGCGGGCCACCTCTTCGAACACAGGCAGCAGCATCTTCATAAAGTGGGATCTCCGATTCTTACGATCCGAAGTGAACTTCACCTCCCAAGACTCAGCGCTGGCCTTGGAAATGGAAATCTCGATGGAGTGGGTGATCTCCCAGAACACAAGCGCGCCACGATTATCGTTCCGAGTCAGCACATCGCGGATGATGGCCAGAAGAGGTTGGAAGCGGGGATCTCCAATATCGAACGAGACTGGGTCGGGCATGTTATCCAGGAAGATCTTCCAGGGACTCGCTTTGTATAAAGCTTCGACCGAGGCTTGTGGCCAGGGCCGATAGTCAGCAGGAACGGCCAGCTCCCCCTTCTTAGGGTTGCACACCCCGGCGGGTAGCAGCCAGTCGCGTGGTAAGAACTTCGAAGCGAGGTCTTTGGCTGTAAGCTGGTCAAGGCGGTGACCTGCAACAACCACCCACAGCCACGGCGTGACATCGGCAGGGCGCGCAGCTTCGCTGGACTCAGGTGGAATTGCGTGCGTGAATGGGCTTCGGGCTGATACAGAGATCCACGGGCTGTCAGACGGAGATCTTTGAAAGTCGCTTGTCTAACAATGAGGAGGAGCTACGTACCCATCGCCGTAGAGGAAGACAACTTAGCTGGCGCTCGCAACGGCGCGCTTTGCGCGCTTCAACTGTGACGTTGGATCAGAAGAGAGATCTCCACTTCGCTTTGCCGAGCCAGACGGGAGCTGCTGCGAAGATGTTCGCGCTGGAGGATCAGAGGAGACAAGGCCCGTGGCCGTTGACGCCAGTGTGGCAAGAGACGAACTGGAACAGGCCGACGCCACGCATCGTTCCACCTCAGGTTGCGGAGTCGGCGCAGGTACCAGATTGATCAAGTTGCGCAACGCTCCAAGGTGTTCCTCACGCTCCGCTAGTTTGCTGCGGAGATCAGCAGAAGAAGCCTGCTCCTTCAGCAGCGACTGTCGACTCGCATCCAGCTCCGCCTGCAAGTCGTCGCGAGCGAGGGAGGCCTCCGCTCGCTCTCGTTCTACAAAGCAATAAACGCACAGGTCAGCACAAGAGTCAACCCGCCACATTAGCACGCGCGATCATGACCTGCAGCCACTGCGCGATCCTGAGCTGTTGCGAGATCAGCCAGACGATGCTCCAAACTGTTCTTGAAGACGACGTTCTCACGCCGTAGAACGGTGTTATGCTGAGTCAGCCGAGTGATCTTCCTCTCCAACTCCTCCAGTCGCTTCCCAGCCACCTGATGCCGCTATGCGAGATCTGATAACGCTGTCGCTGTGGAGATCAAGGCGTTAGTGATGCAACATCAACAACCTCAGGACTTGGGACGACTTACCACCGTCTTGCGCCTTCTTCGACACCGCCGCCGCTTCTCATCGTGCTGATTCTGCGTCCTCACGAGCTTTGGACGCATCCAAGCGAAGGGCGTCCATCCGTGGCGCTGCTTTGTTGACCAGCGTGCGCGATTGCGCCAACTCGGTCTGCAACCTGTCGATTGTCGCCTCCGCTTGGCGCAATTGATTGCGAGATCTGTCTCGTTCGGCATTGGATCGTTGCAGGGCACGTCCCGCGCGTCCGTCACTAGTCCGATTATCATCAGTGGCAGCTTTGCTGGCAGCCAACAGTCGGCCACCTGGAGTCACCGATGCAGTGGGAGGAGGGGTCCAGGTAGCCTTGATATCTGCCAGCTCGATCATCCAGATCTCCGAGGGCGATCTCCAACTGACTGGGGACGACGTTAGAGGGCGATGCTGCAGCGGACAGAGTGACTTCATCGGCATCAGCTGAGCGAGCGGCGACCCGTGCGAGATCTGCGCGTACTTGTTGTTCAGCAGCTTCGGCTTGCTGACGGCGTTCTACTTCGGTGTTCAGAGCCTGCTGGAGATCTCGGAGACGACCGTCGGCTTCGTTGCGCACGCGTTGAACCTCCAGATCGCGATCATGGATGGATCGATGAAGCCTTGCAGTGTGGCGACCAGATGCTTCAAGAAGATCCTGGGCGACGTCAAGACGGCCCCGGAGATCCAGCACCTCGTGATCGAGGGCCGCGGTGACTTGAGCAGCCTGGATAATGCGCGCCCGTTCCGATAGAGATGGCTGCGAACCGGAGTATGGAGCCGCGGCCGGAATAGATCGACCAAGGGAGTGACAGGCGGTGCAATCACCCAGGCTGTAGGTCGACGACGGGGCAGCACTCAGCAGAGGGACGCCGGCGGACGACGACGAAGGCGACGACGTGGGTGGAGAAGCAGACATGGTGCAGGAGCTCCACGCGTGGCAGCCACCTGCTCGATAGCCTCACGCGAAGAGAGGGCGGATGTCGTAATGCGGGTTGAAGGATTGTGAGGCGATGGACCCGGAGGTTGCCCGAAGGTGACCCGAGAGTGAGCCACTTGAATTATGGGACACCCTAGCTCGGCATCCCGTATAGAAGGCCGGCGACTGATTACGAAACCCGATGGCGTATTTACGGAGATCCAGAACGGGGAGGTCTGTAACAAGGACGATGACACCGCACGGAGACAGCAGATGACGTCATGAGGTAAAGGCGTGCAGCATACTGGTTGGTTGGTTGGCCGGCAGACGAGCCGCTGGTAGATAGGCAGTTCAGTTCAGAATTTCCAACAACGAGACAAGGTACTTCTTCATATTAGTCTTTGTGTTGTGCGGTTAGCGCCTACGTGTGTACTGTGACTGTTTCCTACCTACTTGCGAAGTGTACTCGGGGTTCTGGATTGATTTGGCCTCCCCGGTAACCTTCTAGTAGCGTAGTGTGTTGCATTGTCTGGACTCAGGAGATCAGCTCTCAGTGTTCGACAGTAGGACACTCTAAACGGTTTAGTAAGGTATTGGTGTGCGTCTCGCACTTTGGTTTGAACCCGCAGACTAGCTGCGGCACGAGATCTCCAGTAGATCTCGTACATATTGTACAACAAGTTGTCGTACAGTGGGAAGAGTTACCTCGCTGTACAAGTGCATCCGCGACAGAGTTAACCTAAGTCTCTGCCTGCGAGTGTAAGGAACCCCATATTCACCCCTTCATATTACACGTCTTCTAGGAATTACGCTAGATAAAGATCCGAGTCTTGCTACAAGGGTACACAAGGTGAGGCCTAGAGATCTCGGGACTAGTTCTCGTTGTATTTGGGTATTTGGCTTGCAGGGGTAACCCCCCGTAGTTGCAGGGCAGGACACGTGTGGGAGTTTATTAGTTTTTTATCTGAGGGACTCCACCACAATAGTATGGAGGCGGAAGGAACGCTGAAAATCACGAAGGCTCGCGACTTGTGTGAATCGAAGTAACATATCGCTCTTGTTATTCGACAGATTACCAGCATCGTCTTGATCGCGGAGAGCTACGAAATGCCGTTGGTCTCTATTAGATTGTGGAGTAGTATTTCTGGTACGTGAAGTAGAGCTCTTTGTAGTCGTCCCATTTACCAGCATTCTCCAGCCTGATGCTGACGTCGCCAGGGGAAAGACCGTAGGCCTTCCAGTTCTTGAATCGCTTGAATAGCTTCACTCCGCTCATCATCTGCTTGAGCTTGGACTCCGCAAAGAGGTTCGCTCCGCCAGCTCTCTCTTCCTCTTCCCCGTCCCCTTCATTCTCCTCTTCTTCATCATTCTCGTCTTCGTTTTCCAATTCATGGATGCGGAGGGATCTCGTTTCGTTGCCGACGTGCTCGTTAACTTGGAGTGAGCGAGCCAGGTTTGTTGACTCCAACGCCGAGACGCCCGTAGCGTGGTTGGTCGTGAGGAGAATGGTGGCAGCAGCTACCAGTAGCGCGAAGGACATACACATGGTCTTGTTCTGGGTGTTTGGCGACTTGAGAGGTGGGGAGCAAATTTCGAATTGAGCCTTTAAACCACTCGAGCCTCAGCGCCGCGGAATCTGCGCGCCATACATACCCTGTAGTTCATTCCGAGTCGCTGCGATGGTACCGTAAGTTTTGCCAGCTTTGAATACGGTGCATCAGAACGGGATTTGAGCTACTGTAGGGCAGTTGTACAGGAATTGTATTACAGCACAGCAGCGCAAACTCCGATTCATTACAGCTCAAAGCATGCTTTCGGCGACAAGCTAACCAGGCAGCAGCAATAATAAAGAGGGGTGATCAGTCAGTCAATGCGATTTGTGAGGAATCGACCGAATCGGGGCAGCAAGCGAGCAATAGGTAGGTCGCCGTCGTTACAAAATCAAGTTGCAGGCGTCAAATTTGGACATTACATCGCATAACCCCAGAAAATAAACACATTATACATTCTGAACCGAATCTCAGTCTGGCAGCTTGAAGCTGTGCAGTATGTACCATGAATAGCAGTGTGAGTTCATGCAATGAAATGAAATTTGCGGTTATGACGGCTGACTACGCCGTCGCCGCGCACTGCTGCAGCGCCGCATACGGGGACTCCCGCGGTAGCAGCCCAATAGTGTGAGTCCACGTAGATCCGCCACGGCAGATCGAGCAGCCAGCAAATGGACGCATGATATTTCACAGTACAAAAATAAGAGCAAGCGCTAAAATTCAAGAACGTCTTCACGCAACGCTCTTCTGCGGCAAGCATCGCGCTATTACTACATAGTACTACTAGTAGTAAATAAAGTTTTCTACTGTGCAGGTTTTGGAATACAGTAAAAAAAGACCGAACTGCGAACACCGCGGGCCAAAGCCCGCAAACCAGTAGAGGCGTCAACTTTGAGATCGAAATCTGACGATCATACGGTCTCAAAGCGGCCTCAACAAGCTAATAGGAAGGAGCTGCACCACATCAAGCGAGACTATCACTACCACGACGCTATCCGCTGTGGTTCAGCAGCCCGCCAGGTTCCACGGGTACCGCATGCATCACAAAGTAGTCTTAGTTAAAAGCACCGCAAGTTCTGTGTCAGAAGGAGAGAGATGCAGGCGATGCTCGGCAACTCAAGCAGCACATTTACCTGGCGCAAGTATGCCACTTGTTGGCGCTATGCTAGATCAAAAGTGTGAAGCCAATCGGCCTCGAGCATGGGGCCATGGGCCAGCAGACTTCATGTTCGTCACGGCAAGACATCGAGTATATACAAGTGCAGCATACACCTACCAAGGTCGTCGTCTCATAGCCCTGGTTCTCCGGCTAAATGGTAGTTGCTAACGACTACCCGGTCCAATCCGTCAAGCATACAGTAATAGCCAACATATCTGTTCAAGCCATATCCACACCATATATTACGCCCTACGCTGCTTAGCTTTCGCCTCTTCCCATTTAGGTTTGGCTGTGATCTCGATTCGCCGGACCGCAACCTTGTTCTTCATGTCTGCTCGAACGTGCACAGGCATCACGCGTTGGAGTACAAACGCAAGTATCTTAACAACTTTCTCCGCACAGTGCAACGTACCATAAGATACCTCCAGGCGTGCTTCGCTGTCACAGTCTTCGCCGCAGCCCTCCACGCACATTCTTTGGCGTGGGCATCCACGCACAGCCCTCGCAGCGTCTTCCAGCCATCCAGTCACTGGCTGTCGTCCACATCCCTCCAGTGCTTGGCTGTTGGCCGTGGCTACTGATTGTCCAGAGGCACAGGTTAGATGTACTCGCACCCCGAAGCCATGGCAAACACACTTACTTACACGTCATCGAGCAGGAGTAACATGGCGCTTTCTGTTGCTTCTTCGGCTTGCCTTCCACGTTGGATCTTTCAGAATGAAGCACCTTTCGCACGAGCTTCCGGCCGCGTTGGACAACCTTGACAATTTTACAGTACGAATATATTATCCCAACTAGAAATTTTGCGGTAAGCTACTCAGTAGAGGAAATGTGTCGTAAATTACAAGGTTGCTCAAGCAACTTTAACAGAAATATAAGGTTGCTCCAGCAACCTTCTGGGATTTTTTATGTTCCTATTAAGGTTGTAAATGCAAAATTCCAGTACCGGTAGGCACACACCTTCTAAACCGTCCGAAACAAGTGGCTCAAATCCCGTTCTGATGCACCGTATTCAAAGCTTGCGAAACTTACGGTATTAATACCACCGTGTGGTGCCAACGGACACGTGTTGAAGCATACTTCGTACATGTAGACATGCATACCATCCGAAGCGGAAGATTTTTTTCATGTCCGTATTCTGACATGACACCCCCAATACACAGCAAATCGTCCATAAACAAAAGGATAGGCGACGCAACAACGATGTAACATGACAGCGTGAGCAGAGCTGACCGCGAGCTTGGCTGCTGCATGCTCGGAGTTTCCAAACCTCACGAGGTTGTGCAAGTGGGTGGCCGGTGAGATGAGGCCAATGCGCGCGGTAGATCGTGTGTTTATCCAGATTCCGGCAAACATCAGGCGCCTTAAGGCTCAGATCCAGCAGAAAAGTGGGTCATCACTCCCACAATCTTCAGACCAAGCGCCTTGTCATGACAGAAATTCTGACTCAGAAGAAGACCATAAAAAGCTAACCATCCGAAGCGCTTCCCATGAAATCCTCAAACTGTAATCAAGCCCGAGCAGATCTACGGACGAGCGGCCAGATGAGAACCACAGAACGCCCACGACTGGCAGTAGCGTGACCACCCCGACCACTGGAAGTAACCAGAAGTCCACTGCTTCATCGTCAAAGCAGGTTCGCTTCGGTGATGACGCGTACTCCACCCCGGTGCTCGCTCGCAAGTTTAATTTCGATGGCCTGTCAATCGACGAAGACGAGGAGGAAGAGAAAGAGGAGGAGGAGAGCGTCCTGAGTTTCCTCGGTGGATCTAGCGTTACCAGCGCCGAGTTGAATGATGCCTCTTTCGTGCGAGCTTTCGAACGATTCCGTCGCGAGCTGAACGCGCCCAAGCATAATACTGTCACGCAATCGCCGGTGCAGCAACCCCTTGCAAGAGAGCTGTTTCCGGTACAGGACATTGATCGCCCCGAAAAAGTTGCGATGCCGGTGTTGGAAGCAGCGCCTACCGATTCTACGCCCGATGCACAAGACCAAACGGTAGAATTTCCGGAACTGGAAGGTTTGAGTGTTGAGGAGTTGCAAGAGCGACGCAGGCAACTTTGCCTGGACATCCAGTCTGCAAGCGCACAGCTCGTGCTAAATTTCGGTGGGGTGCAGAGTAGGGCAGAAGACACAACGGACCGCTTGATGTCGCTAAGAGATGAGCTCAAAGCTGTCGACGAGCTGTTGAGCAAACTCTCATAATGCGGATAGGTGAGTATCTTAATAAATAATACGGCGTTCATACACGTTCGATGTGGAGAGAGTATTACTTTGGGATATGCATGATCATCGCGCAAGTGTATTGTTAGTAGCAATTATTAGAACTGCAGACGTCTAAAATTTGCTCAGCAAGCAACAAAGTTGGTGATGCGTACTGGCTCTTCCTGCTCCGAGTTCTCACACGACGCGGCTCGTGCAACTCGCTCAAGGGCGTGCCGTTCGTCCACAAAAGTTCGTGACGCTGTTCTCGAGGAGCGAGACGCTTCGACAAACTGGGCGACCAACTACCACGAACAGCAGCGACTCCAGCGTAAAGCTCGCGGATGGCGAAGTTTCCTCCGCCCTTCCGTCTTTGGTGCGAGCTTGGCAAGCGTGGGGCGCACCATCGTAGGACCGGTGGCGCTGCTGTTGCTGTTTATCTTGACGAAATATCTATCGGCAGACGCAACGTTCCTCATCACATTCGACAACAACTTCCTCGCGTTCACCGAGCGCGATCTGTCCATGGTTGGCGGGTGCACCGACTGCAGGGGGCCGTGCAAAATCGTTCTGCTCAAGTACGGCCTGTTCGAAAGGAAGGCGCTCACCAGCGCGCCAGTGTTTGCAGCATTTGCAGGCCAGCCTCCGACGGAGTCGCTGTATGACTTCAGCTCTTTGAGCCCTGAACTCCTCGCCCTAGCAGAGGCCTTAGACGCGGGGGGCGCGATCTGCGAGAGCGGAGTCAACGACTGGGGGTCCGCCATCAGCGTCGTTACTGCTGCACCGCAGCTCGTGATGGACGTCGTTACACTCATGAATCTCAACATTCCTCCGCAGTCGAAGAAAGAGCTTGAGCTAGGCATCGCTCGTGTTGAGGAATGTGCGACCACGTGGACTATAATGGCAATCCCGCGACAGTTCTCCCTTACAGGACCCCCACGCAGTATCGAGTTCGGGAAAATATCGGCCGTAGCGATCAACATCTTCCCCGACTACACCGAGTGTCGGCCAGACACGTCTGCAGACGGTTGTTCGAAGCTGGCGCTAGCGACGGGCGGTCGAGACTTGCTGGAAGTCGTTCCTGAGGCTCTAACGTTGTTTCCGTACAACTTCAAGAGCAGCATGAGCCCGGTTTCGCATGTAATCGAAGCTGTGGAGACGAAATTAGAGTCAAGCACCGTTCTGGAGCCTCTACAGCAGGCATATTACGGAGGTTGCCGCGTCCGGGAGGTGAATACTACTGGTGTCTACATCGAGGCGGACTGCGAGACTTCGCGGCACTGGGAAATCTACGGCTTGATGGTCCAGACTCCCGACGACATCCCGCTGTGCAGTACAGACGACGTCTGCGTCCACAACTCGTACAACTCGCAATGGGAGTGGGTGAGCGAGATCACGGCGGCAAAGCACAACGGCGTCGTCATGTACGTCAACACATTCCGCCGTCGATTCGCCGACAAAGTCGGGATTAGTATCCTTCCCGGCCTGGTCGTCCTGCAGATCTTCGTCATGGGGAACCTGATTCTGTACCAGGTGATGCCGCACAAAAAGTCGGTGCTGCTCACGCAGATCTGGGCCTATCGCTGTCAGAACGGCAGGATGCAGGTGCTCTACCTCGCGCAGATCGGTTACCACCTCCTTCTGAACTCGGACCTGTACTTGATCGGGTTCGCGACGGGCACGCTAACGACCGAGTCGATTGCGAACCTCACAAGCTGTTTCTTCGCCTTCTCGTACTCGTTCGTCAATTTGGCAAAGGCGCGTTCAGGGGATCAACGTCTTGACCGCCATTTCCGATTGATCTGGGAGACCATGCAGGTTATCATTACTGGGTGTGTGGTGGCGGCGCTGCGTGTGGTGCAACGCAATCCCCTCGAGTCGATCATCTCGACGAACGCTCAAATTCTGCGCAAAACGTCGACGCTCGGAGAGAAATAATGTGGGCTCAACGATGCCTGTATTATTTTCACGGTCAACACGCCGACGATTGTCACGATACGGTTGCGGCTTATCCTGGAGTAAATCACGGCGGGGGTACGCGTAAAGTCAAAACAGGTGAGATCTAGAGTAAGATTTTACAAAACCGGATATGTTACGAGTGACAGGCCGAACCGAGACGATCAGAGTCAGTTTTCGCTCAACATGAGCAGAGCCGACGAGGCAAGCGGCAGCGACTTTGCCTCGTCTTCGGACGAAGAGGGGCAGCAAGTCAGAGCGACTCGTAGAGCGTTCGTTGTGTGCAAGGTGTTCCCAACCCTTGAAGAGGCGCAGATTGGCATCGACGTCTTAGACGGGTTCCACTACAAGTACAAACACAACTACGGCAATGCTGGCAACGGTACTCGTATCTACTGCTGCATGTCCCATGTTAATTGCCCCAAACGGCTGCGGCTGTCTAAGGTGGAAGGCGAAGCCCGGACGAAAGCGGAGCTCAGTTTGTTTTGGAGGAGACAGACATGCATGGAGACGAAGATCAAGATATTCAGCGCCGTGGAATTCACGGTGCGCTGAAGCGAGAGATCGACAGCATCCTGTTCGGCGGCGCTGGACCAAAGAAGTGCCGGAAGCTGCTGCTAGATCGTCACGGAGACAACCCAGTCATGCTTCAGCATTTACCCACGGAAAGTCAGCTCAAGAACCGAAAAGCTGGACTCCGGAAGAAACAGTCAGGTATGATGTTTTTGGCAGCTCTGTACTTTATTTTGGGTTGATAGTAATAATTCTGAACAATTGTGGTTGTCTTGCATTTGATTCTGCCACGACTCTACTAGAGTGGGCGTACACACATTTGTGTACATCGAAGAGTGACTTCTTTGGTCACGAAGACGACATCAGCGCTGCGGACGCCGCAACGCAGTTTGCCAACAAGTCCCGCCAGTTTCAGCACGGTGTGATCGTTCTTGAGTGCTTTGAACACGACTTCATTGACCAGGATGGCAAGGCAGTAAAGTCTTTCGGGCTCATATTGACTTCGCGTCACATGCTCCTGAGCATTCCCAAGGCCTACGAATGCCAGCAGGATATTGGCGTCTTGGGTGCTACGGATGGAACATATAAACTGCATTTCGGTAAGCTTCGAGGTGTGTTACTAGTCGTGGCAAGGTGCATTAGCTGACCGTTTTCTCTTTTTTTGTAGGTGGATGGACCCTCGTAGACTTTGAGACCTACACGACGCACTATTCGCGAAAACAGTACTCCAAAACATTTGTCCCTTGGATGTATATGTTTGTCAAGACAGAGCATCAGACGGCGTACGCAACGCTTTTTCGGACTGCCAAGCACTTTACCCGACTGTTTTTCGGAGTCGATTTAGCCCTTGCCTATGGCAGCCTCGATAGGACCCAAGGCATTGCGAACGCTTTTAAGGAGGTTTGGCCTGATGTAATTCTCCTTAATTGCTACCCGCACCTCGTGCGGAAAAGTCGAGAGAAGATCAAGCTACTCAAGGACCCTGCGTTCTACGAAGACAACGTGCTACCGGACATTCGCTATCTCAGTAAAGCTCGCTCGGCCAAGCAGTTCAAGGCGCTCAGTAAACTCTTTCTCGAGTTTTGGATCCAACAAAACGAGCGAGACTACGCCAAGTGGTTCGAGGACATTTACTTGGGTGACACGTGGGGGAACTGGTTCTACGTCGCCGCCGCCGCAGGCATTACACCGTCCCAGAATGCCCTTGAGGCTCATCACCGCGTGATCAAGAAGGTGTGTGTCGGGACGCTTCGGGCAAGTACATCGGTCGTCTTGAACGACTCAATTCCTCGTATTCTTGGTCTCCAAGAAAGCGAGCCGGCTCGCCCTGCTCTAAATCACTTCTCGGAAGGTAAGATGACGTTTGTTTATCATTTGCTAATGGTGTGTACCGATTGATTTTATTATTCGTGTATCTCGTGCATTCTAGGTCCGTTCATGAGTGGTGTAGTAGCGCGCGCGCAAACGCTTGTCCAAGAGAAGTCTAATCACTACATGATCAAGGACACGGGCGAAGTTTGTGAAGGCGTTCTTGTTTAACGCTTCCAAGTTCGTGGTATCGCCCAAGAACATTCACAGTGCTGTTTTGAACCGCGACCGTGCCACAATGTGAGTATTACAGCTGTGCGAGTCAAAGTTGTTAAGCTCACTATTTATTTGTTTCATTTTGGCAGCTACAGGAACTCCATCAACGGCAAACTACCGCCAGGGATGACTGTAAACCTGGTGGAATTGCACTGCTTGTTCATTCACCAAGTTCGATTACTGCGCAGAGATCCACTGCTCGATGGTGGAATGATAACGGCTGCACCATCAATCCCCTCCCAAACAGTACGTTCAGTTTGATATGTGGTAGTAGCACACTTAGGCGATTTGAATCTGACACTGTCACTGCGGTTTTAGATTCAGGCGATTCGGAAGAAGTACGTGTGCGACTGCGCCCTGTTTTATCAAACAGGGTGGCAATGCTCCCATGTCGTCGCTGCCATGACATTGCAGAAGGAGATCAGCATTCAAGGGATGCTAAAGGCGTTGCCAACGAGAAAGCTAAGTGGTGGGTAGCGCAAGCGCGTGGGTCCGCTCACAGAAGGCGGAGACAACACTCACCGATTCTCCGTCGACGTGCTGATTCGAGAGTTCTTAAGTACCCTGCCAGACCCCTACATTGGAACCTCATGAAGGAATCCAAAATTCCCGATGACTCCGGTAGTGAGGTGGAGCAGTTTCTGTTGGGAAAGGGGATCTCGTGGGGGGAGACCAACGACGTCTTCTTCTGGATGACGAAGTTTTCCAACGGTGCACAAGTCAAGCTGGAGTGCCAAGAGTTAGCCGAGTGTCTTACCAGGGCCTACACCCATGGTGCAGATGTTGCTGGAGCCGTGGCCTATTAAGGCGATCAATGGCTGGCGAGAACAACTCGAACGTGCTAGGTTGTAGCTAGCATTTTTTTCATTTTGCATATCGAGTCCTACGATCCATTTTCGTAGACAACAATACACGTTTCGTTACATTTTATTCACAGTTCTTCGTTGTTAACAATACTTCAATCGTACCCAATTTCTGAATACTCGTATCTCGGCTTTAGTTGTTTGGGATTACTCGTAGTGCCTCTTTTTGGTGTGTTACTCTTGGTATCGCCAATTTTACTCGAGATTAAGCTCGTTCGGGCCATGTGTATGAACCTTGTAGAAGGTGAGCGGGTCTGCCGGCGGACGCTGTGCTCCCGGGGTCACCAACCGCGTTGCTCCCAGTCGAACTGAACCCTGGGGTCGGAGCTGAAATCTCGACGGCCGAATTGCACTCGGGTAGCCGAAGTCACAAACCACAGCACGGATTTGCTCTTTTGCTCGCTCTGTCGGCGATTCCGTCGGGGGAGAGCGAGCATCCCCCAAGTAGGTGTAGGAAAGCGAGCTCGACCGCGGCGTGATGAAGCCGAGTGAGTCCGTCGGTGGAGCGTGATGGCCGCGCTGCTGCAAAAGAGCAAATGCCCTCTCCGTGAATGGATGACATTCCTCTCTATCCTAACTAGCGTTGGGAAAATCTATAGGTTCGGAAACTGCACCTTGCAGCTCCGCATGTTGGATAGGAAACCAAGGCACCTAAATGGTGCCTTGGCGAGGACGAGCTTGTGCTGAACGGCGGCTTCGCAGTCTTGATGTTGAAGCTCGAGCACTTGACCTGATGACCTTCCCCCTCCAGGAAAAACCACCTTCCGCCTCGCCTTCGGCCCCTCGGTAACTACCCATGTACGATGTTGAGGTGTGAGCGATTGGCAGTTGTAGTTGTGCCCACAATCAGCATCTTCAACGTCAACGACCAACACACGGTCACGCTTTGATATTTAACCCTGTGTAAGGCTGACCACATACTCAGCACTGTAGACTCCCAATTGTGGCTGTTGTATGCCTACAACGAGCAAGGCGGCAGAAACTGCATTTTTGTATTCTTTCGGCCGAAAGATGTTCGCGATGGAGGAATAGCTTCTCTGTGCGTAGTAGAGTCATGATAAAAGTATAAAAACTCATTTGGATTGCGGCTCATACCGAGAGGCCGTCTGAAGCATTGATTGCTATATTAACCAACGAGGTGGCGAGAAAGTCAAACATCGGTTGCAGCGAAGCATAACTCCAAACCTCAGTAACTCCAAACCTAAGATATGCAGGTCCCGAAACGCTTGAATTTGGTTCAAAGGTCGTGAAATATAACTTCAAACCAATCGTTTGCACTGGGTGCTACTTTATTGCGAGTACACTTCACTGACTTCCGAGTAATTTCACATAAACCTTATTCGTGGCTTAGGAAAGGCGCCACGACCGGCATTGCCACCCTGGATGATACCGAAGGAAGACACAGCATGAATGTATCTGGAGAAGTAACGCATCGAACCACTTATGCGGATGTAAGGAAGCTAATTGAGAATTTAAGCGTTATCCAGCAGAAAACATCAGGCAAGTTGCCCTAAAGGGCTAGTATCACGTTATTTACGTTCGTGAATGCCATACTGACATTCAACGTTCTTAGAGCGGAGTCAGTAGCTGGAAGCTAACGCAACGCACGAGTTCAAAAGAGGTATTGTGCTTTGCACGAACTTTGGCATGCGATTAAGGGCTCTAAACCAACGAGCAAATCCTTCCCGGTGATCATATCTCGCAGCCTAACTCTAAGTTAAGCAAATCAACCGCCAGTACCAAGAACGGAGCGGTTGCCACTGCAAGAAAAAATCGGTTGTCGCTGCAAGAAAACAAACTGATAAGGTCCCCGTTAAAATGGCGCCAACTCCTTGCATAATAGTAAGCACCGATTTCGGCGGGACGTTTTCTTTCGCTCTCTTCGTCGTGGCCTTGCGCGTTAAACCAAGCTCGAATTTCAGAGCACGGCATATAGTAGCAGTAGAAAATTTCTACTAGAAATGTTTGATAGTGCAGGAAACGCTGACTTTAAAGCTGCTTGCAGCTCCTCGATATAAAAACAGGGATGTTCTTCAATATTGTAGACGTAGTTTAGTACGATAGATCGCCAACGCATGTCAATCATCGACTAAAAAGCAATCCGACAAAGCGAGCGAGTTAGAATTAGAATGTCAGGGCCGTAGTATTGACGGATTTACTCCAGCCATTCAACGAAAGTGAGCATAACTCAACGTTAACTCGTTGTCTTAGCAGCTAAGGGTAATGCGACCGGTTTTCGGCCACCTAATTTTAATATAAGTTTTTTTCTAACGGCTGCGTCAATTTCGGCTTGAAAGCCGCCATTATAAAGAGTAGAATCTCCTCTACCTCGTGTACAACTTATAGCTTATGTGGAGCGAGGCATGTGATAAGATCGACGAGCGAACATTATGCTTCGATTGAGATTATTTTCAATCGCCTCCCTTTTTTCGGCCACCTGTCGATACAAAGAGCAAATCAAACTGAATCAGATGACCCATAATCCGCAAAAGCGAACTTTGGCAACTAATTTCGGCGAATAAACATTCTTAGGGAAATAACGGGCAGGACTACAACCACGAGTGACGTCTTGCAAATCTATACAAAGCTTTGGATATCAAAACAATGCTTTTGGTGCTGAGCTGTAGCCAACTATTTCAGTCGCCTCCATGATACCATCGGGCTTGACTTAAGTTTAGTATTGAGAAAACATACGATTTGCATATGTGCTCCAAGTGCATGCTCCTGGTCAACTTATCCCGTGCACTTTACTATGGAGCCACTTCAGCTCGCGCTATCGACCTCGATTCTTGTCCGACGCTACCCAAACTTCGATGCAGAGCTAGCTCTAGATATAATTTTGCATTCACGCCAGCCCCACAGGTCTAATCCTCAATCTAGCAATGCAGCTTTGTGTTCCCTGATTTCTGTATGAACCAGGATTTGTGTGGTTAACGTGGCCGGAATTAGGAAGCGGCCGAAAAATGGTTCAGTTACCCTTATTCTATCTTAAATCGACGAGTTAGCCTCCTAACTCAATGATGGGCTAATCACCGTGATTTGCTAAAACAACGAATTACGTCGTTGTTTATACAGAAAGCATGCAAGGCACAATATATGTACTCGAAAGTACGAGTAAGGGTTTTGGCCAGTTTAGTAGAATTGACCAGTTTAGTAGAACCAGTAATATTGCTGAAATAATGAAATACGTGCTTTGATTAGCTATAAAAATCTTACCACGCGTTTCCATATGGTACTTCGATACAAAGACCAGTATCATTCCGCTCTACTAAACTGATCGCAGCATACTGCAGGTATGCTTTCTTTGGCGCGCTACAATAGCACTTTCATAGCTGCTAACTGTGTCTGGATTGGTGCACATGTTAGAGCAAATCTAGGGCTTTCATTGTGTACAGGTTTTATCTCCAACAGATTGGTAGTTTTCAAGAAAATACTTTTCAAAGTCAATAATTCAGTTTGCTCTACTAATCTGACCAATCCCCTTATATTACTTATTACTCGAAAGTCAGCGAAATGTACTCGAAAATAAGGACGACCCGTTTGCACTTCTGTCGGTTTGGTTTGTTCAAGACGTGCAGCCGTTGAAACGATCAAGCGCATGATTGAGGGCCTGTGCGCTTCTCACCTCACTTTGTCCGTTAGAAGACGTTTCTGGTTAGAAAGTGCTGGATGGCAAATCGCTGTTCACTCACTCGTAAACTAGCGCCGACGAACTTAAAAGTCGATGAGCTCAATCCCGGATATAGCCTCAAGTCTTTGCAAATCGCGGAGAGGAGCGTCTACGCCTGAACTGTACCATGATGGCTCGGAGAATTGGATGACGAGTTACTGCGAACACGAGAGGCTCCGTAGGAAGAGTCACGGGTGGAGAAGTCTGCTACACCCGTCTGTCTTGGGCGCTTATCTAGCAGTTTCCAGGCGCATCATTGTAGGCCCGATTGTGCTGCTGTTGCTGTTCGCCGCCACTAACTACCTCTCGCCCGACGCCACGTTCCTCATCACGTCCGACAACAGCATCTTCGCTTTCACCGAGAAAGATTTGTCCATGGCTGGCGGCGGCTGTACAGATTGTCTGGGTACATGCAAGATCGTGTTATTGACGTATGCGATGTACAACAGAGTGGCTCTCACGAGTGCACCTCCGTTCACAGCGTTCACTGGTACGCCCCCAACATGAAAATCGCTATACAACTTCAGCTCTCTAAGTCCTGAAGCCCTCGCACTAGCAGCATCTTTGGACGCCAGCGACGCCTTATGCCTGAGTGGCGTAAACGAGTGATGAACAGCTTGACCGGGACGCCTCAGCCAGTGCTGGACACGTCACCACTCTCAATCTCAGTATCCCGCAGCAGACAAAGAGAGAACTTGAACTGGGCATTGAACGAGCTAAGGACTGCGTCACTACATGGAGTATCATAGCGATTTCTCGACTGTTTTTATTCCCGATCACTTCAAACAGCACCGAGTTTGGCAAAATCCCCGCTGTGGCCATCATAATCGCCCACGATGTGACTGAATGTCGCCCAGACGTCCCCACGGATGAGAGTCTTCTCGGTTCGAAGCTGGCTCTTGCTATGGATGGCTGGGACTTGCTGGCGGACGTTCCCGAGGCGCTCACTTTGTTTCCGTACTATGACTCCGATCTCGCGTGTGGTCAAAGCCGGCGAGGAGACGAAGTACAAAGTTGACACCGTCCTGGAGCCTCTGCTACACGCGTACTACGGAGCCTGTCGAGTGCACGAGGTGAATGCTACAGGCGTGTACATTGAAGATACTTGCGAGATCTCGAACCACTGGGGTTCTTATGGTCTAATGGTCCAATCCCCCGACGATATACCGCTATGCGTGACGTGTGCATCGACAACTACCACAACTCGCAGTGGGAATGGAGAAGTGAGATCACCGCACCAAACCGCGTCACCATGTGCATGAACACGTTTCGGAGTCGTTATGCTGACAAAGTTGGTATCAGTGTGCTACCTGGCCTGGTCGTGATGCAGATTTTCATCATGGGGGTAGTTAGTCTGTACGAAGTGATGTCGCCCAAGAGGTCGGTGCTGCTCACTCAAATCAGAACGGCGCTACTCAGGTGGTGTACCTCGCCCAAATTTTCTACCATCTCATCTACAACTCGGACTTGTACTTGCCCGGATTTTCCACGGAACATTGACGACCGAATCACTCGCGAATCTCACGTGCTGCTTTTACGCCTTCTCGTACTCATTCATCAACTTGGCAAAGTCACGGTCGGGAGATCAGCAGCTGGATCGACACTTTCGACTGATTTGGGAGGCCACTCAAGTCGTCATCACGGCCTGTACCGTGACTACTCGGCGAGTGGTGCAGCGGACACCATTGATTTCTATCATTTCCCAAAATGCACAGATTTTATGGAAGACGTCAGCACTTGGGGCGAATCACTGCGGCCTCAACGATGCCTGCATCATTTTTACTGTGAACACTCCGACGATAATCACTATTCTCTCGGTCATTCTGGGTCTTCTAGCAGTGACAACTTCGCTGGTTGAAAAAGAAGATGAGCGCCAAGATCAAGAAAGTCGTGCTCTCGTCTCGCGGCTCAATTGGGAGTTTCTTCGTGGCTGATCCGAGCCGGAGAGTCGTTGTTTGCCGAAACAAAAGTCAATCGGTGCGTTCCTTACGGCCAGCAGCAAATAAGTACGAGCTCTGAGACCAAGCTCACTCCTTCGAGCTGAATTGCCTCGGTATGCCCTTCATAAAACTATTCTACGATTGCGATGACATCGCCTACGTGACTTACAACGGGAAGCACTGCTCAACCGTGGAGGCTCTGCTGCTGACGGGTTACGTCTTCTATGGCGCGAATATCTACCAAGCCTCCTCTGTGCTTCTACTGGTGGCAGCGCGCTTACTGCCGCGACAGCTCCTACGGACATTCAACGTGCTGATCCTCCACTGGCACTTGGACCCAGTGCACGGAACAACAACACACGCGTTGTCGTGCACTTGGTATGCAGCGAGCGATGAGAAGCACACACTGAACTGGATCACGCCTGTAGCCTAGTGTACTATACGACCAGCCTAGATACAAGTACGATACCAACACAGACTTCAACTTCAGCTTGTGCAGGAAGGGTCGCTTCAACTAACGTTAGTCTGTACGACTAGCTAAAACTTGGCTATTGTGCCTTGGTCTTAAGAAGAGAGGGTAGGGCTAGACCTAGGATTTGCTGTTGGGCTTGCATCGGATTCCTATGTAATAGGAGCTCCGTCTTCATCTAAAGGGTATTAATACCTTTTTGGAAATAAGGACTAGATCAGGCCAGAGCGCCTGAAAGCATCTGTGGCAAATGCATAGTTTGGCCGCACTCGTACAGGCGGAGACCGCAACCAGGTCACCGTGCTCAGCGTGGAGCTACGTATATGCGCTACAGGTATAGCGGTTCTGAACGCGCTCACTTGTCGGCCTACCTTTGCAAGGAATTCGCTCAATTTCTATTCAGTTTTTGTTCTGGGATAAATTAGGCGGCACCTCGGTAGCTGAAGCCGGTAATACTGAGCCGGAAAACTGGCCCCCGGTAACTGAAGCTAACTGGTTATCGCCTATGCTCTTCATCTCACAAGCTCGAGATGTAAGGAAGTACAACGCGTGTTTTCAGTGCTGCACCTAGCCGAACACACGCACCAAGTACGGCCCAAACGATCCGTCATCTCTTTAAAACCCCAAGTGCATTTAGCACAACGTTGCTGAGGTAAAGGAATAAAGAAACCAAAGTTTGCGTCCGCAAAAGATGATAATGGTCGACGGGCGAAAAGCTCAAAGATTTTTTTTGAAGGAAATCCTGATAGGCTCTAAGTCAACATAGCAGGAGCTGTGTTGTAACGGAAACGCAAATTTACATACCACAGATACTGTAGGTAACAGGTATTAATAAGTCGTAGATTTCAGAGCTTCTTCGTGCAACGCGCGCGACTTTGTTTCTCGTTGAATTGCTGCTTTGGCGATAGCGATAGTGACGGCGCAAGATGCTCACACTAAGTTCTTTAGCTATCCCAGTCTATGCATAGCTCTCGTTTTACTGGCCTTGGTACTAACTTTTATGAGGTCTTACGTAGGACTCCTACGTAGATTTGAGGTCCTACGTAACGTTAGGACCTCAAATCGGAGGGAATAAAAACACGCGTGTACCCCGGTTACTACAGGTTACGCTGGATAAACCGTAACCAGTCGTTCGTGCACAAGCTTTCATCCATCACCAACTCACTATCCAAGAGTCCGTCCAAGGCGCAAGTCGAGACCAAGACGATGGCGAAGCTGGAAGAGCAGGAAGCGGCCCAAGCGGCCCCCGCTGAAGTGGAGGAGGACGTCAAGATGTCGGACGCCGAGCACAGCGGCGAAGTCGCGGCCAACGAGGGCGAGGGCGGCGCCAGCGGCAGCAGCAAGAACAAGAAGAAGAAGAAGAACAAAAAGAAGAAGAGCAAGGCCGCCGCCGGTGGCGCGGGCTCCAAGCCGGCGCCGTTCCGCGGCGTCTCGGGCTTCACGGACAGCTACGTGGGCGTGGGCCAGACGGAGCCGCCCACGATCCCCATCGAGAAACTCTTCCCGGACGGCCACTTCCCCGTGGGCGAGATCCAGGAGCACCCGGGCGACTTGAACACGTTCCGCACCACGAGCGAGGAGAAGCGCGCGCTGGACCGCGCCCAGGAGGACCTGTACGAGACGGTGCGCCACGCCGCCGAGGTGCACCGCCACGTGCGCAAGTTCGCGCAGAGTATCATGAAGCCCGGCGTCAAGCTCATCGACATGTGCACGCAGCTCGAGAACAAGAACCGCGAGCTCGTGGTCGAGGCCGGCTTTGCGGTACGTTGAGAGTCATCTATTTCCCCCTTGTCATTGCTGTGCATTGACACTGTTATTTTATTGTGTTTCTGTGTTGCAGCGCGGCATTGGTTTCCCGACGGGCTGCTCGCTGAACCACGTCGCGGCGCACTACACGCCCAACTCGGGCGACGACACGGTGCTGTCGTACGGCGACGTGATGAAGGTGGACTTCGGTACGCAGATCAACGGACGCATCATCGACAGTGCCTGGACCGTTGCGTTCGACCCCCAGTTCGACCCGCTGCTCGAGGCCGCCAAGGCTGCGACCAACGCTGGTATTGCCTGCGCGGGTATTGATGCCCGTCTGGGTGAAATCGGTGGCGAGATCCAGGAGGTTATGGAGTCGTTCGAGGTGACTATTGACGGCAAGACGTACCCCGTCAAGTCCATCCGCAACCTGAACGGCCACTCCATTGGCCCCTACCAGATCCACGCCGGCAAGAGCGTCCCCATCGTCAAGACGGAGGACCAGACCAAGATGGAGGAGGGTGAAATCTTCGCCATCGAGACGTTCAACACCACCGGTCGCGGTTACGTGGTCGAGGACGGCGAGTGCTCGCACTATGCCAAGGCGTTCGACGCTCCGCACGTGCCGCTGCGTCTGCCGCGCGCCAAGAAGCTGCTCGGCCACATCACGCGCACGTTCGGCACGCTGCCGTGGTGCCGCCGATGGATCGAGCGCGAGGACGGTGGCTCGGCCACCATTAACCCTAAGGGCGCCAAGCAGGAGAAGTACCTGATGGCTCTCAAGAACCTGGTGGACACGGGTATCGTCACGGCGTACCCGCCTCTTGTTGATGTGAAGGGCAGCTACACCGCACAGTACGAGCACACCATCATCCTGCGCCCCACGTGCAAGGAAGTTGTGTCTCGCGGCGATGACTACTAGATTCAACCCCTAGCTTCTCTTACTGCGGCGTGAAGACGTGGACGCGGGCGACGCGCCTCCAGCAAGGAGTTTCTCCAGCTGGCGCTTATCGCGTACAGCCTGCGCGTATTTGTACTTGAGGTCTTCGATTTCCTCGAAGAAGTCTTCGTCAAACGCCGCTAATTCATTGGTTAGCTTCGTGTTTTCGTCTTCCAGTTCAAGCACTTGGGCTTGCAGGTCTTTGATGCGTTCTTCTTGCTCATGCTTGATCTGCTCATCCTCTTCATCGTTGGCGTCATTGGCGCTACGTTCAAGCTGCAGCTCAAGTTGCAGCACCTGATGCCGCAGTTCGGCGAGCTCTTGCTCACCCTTGAGCAATTGCCGATCCTTCTCTTGAACCTGAAGCTCGAGGGCGTTGCTTTCGTTCTTGGTAGAGCTCGATGAAGCGGTTTTGGCACGAAGCTTTTGCTGCAGCTTCAGCTTGTCCTTCAGCTCACCGTTTTCATGCTGCAACTTCTCCAGCTGAGCCTCGAGCCGCTCTCGTGCTTCCTTCTGCTCTTTCAGCTTGCGTCGCATTGCATCCACTCGCTCGGGAGACACAAGAGCCTGCTTTGCCGCTGCCTTCTTGAGCTTTTCGTTCTCTGCACGCAACTTTTCGATCACTTTCTTCATGTTCTCGATCACCTCCTCGAGCTCCAGGCGCTCTTGTGTCGCCCATGAAGACCCCCGGCCACCCTTTGCAGCACGACGCTGTTTCGGCGTGTCGTCGTTACCCGTAGACCCACCACTGTGTTGATTCTTCCGCTGAAGCCGCTTGTATTCAAGACGCAGACTTTCGACCTCCAGCTCAAGCTCGAGCAGCTTCGTGTCTTTCACCACCATTTCCTGTTCCTTACTACGCAACTCGTCACCAAGAGCAAGGAGCTCCTCTCGAACTTCCTGCCCAACGAGGAAACGCTGCTCTTCGCGTTGCAGCCGCGAGTTAGGCCCTTGTCCTTTTGTGTCTCCGGTGTCGTCATCATTACTGTCATCGTCGTGTGAGGATATTCCGTGCTGTACAAGTCGCCGACGAAGGCGCTGCAACTGAGCCTCGTACTTCTCCATCTGCGTTGTGAAAGACTCCTCCCATTCCTTGCGTTTCAGCGCCAGTGTCTCCTGAAGGAAGGCGTTTTGACGCTCTAGCTCCTCGAGTTGTTGCTTGATTGGCATAGCTGCAACAGTAGGCACAGCACTTGCCTGCGTTAAACGCTCCTTCTCGAATCTCGCCTGCTGCGACTGCAACTCCGACTCCATCTTCGATATCCGCTCGTTGCAACGCTCGAGCTCGCTGTCTTTACTGGTCACATCCGCCTGCTTCTCTTTGAGGCGCAGCATCAGAATGTCCACACGACGCTGAAGCTTCCGTTCCCCGTCCAGTTTCTCGCGTGTGCTCTTCTCATCAGCTGTAGTTGGTGGCGCCGGTGCTGCGTGAGTGGCTGCCTCGCGCAACGCAAGATTCTGGGCCTGCAGAAGCTTGATCTTCTTCTCCAGCTCTTCCACAGCTCGCGCTTCACTCACCACCTTGTCCTTCAGCAGACGCTTCAAACGCTCGACTTCCTCCTTCAAAATGTGGAGATCAGCCTCGGAAGTACTCTCTTTCTCTTCCTTCTCCTCGTTTTCTAGTTTCTTCTTGCGGCGCTGCTGCTGGTCATGCTTTTTCTTCAGTAAAGCCAGCTTTTCCTGAAGCACTTGCACCTGGCTCTGCAGTCGCGTCTTCTCCTCACGCCACTCGTCTTCTTCCTCCTCGCGCCGCTCCTTCTCTTTCCGCTTCCGGGCACTGAAATCTTGATTCATCGCATGCTGAGCCTTGGCAATCTCGATTGCGTGGCGATCTTCAGCCTTGAGGAACTCTTCCTTCAGCTTAATGATTGCGTCACGCAACAGCTTCAGTTTCTCCTCCTTCTTCGCGATATCGCGCTTGACGAAAGTGAGCTGGTGCTCCAACTTCTGGCTGTGCTTCTCGCACTCTACGACCTTTTCTTTCAGCAGCACGATCTCTTCCAGCGCCTCGCCCGCACGAGCCTCAGCGAGGTCCCTCTCGTTCCGCAGCACTTCTCGCTCCATCTGAAGCTCGCGAATAGACTGCTTAGCACCCTCCAATGCCACCTCGGCTTGCTTCCACTCCTGCAGCACATGATCATGCCGCTCTTGTGCAGCTTGCAGAGCCTGCTTACTCTTGCCCGATCTCTCCATACTGCTGATAGTACTCATGGCCTCCTTCAGCTGTCCAATCATGCGTTGGTTCTCTTCATAGAGCTTTTTGTTCAGTTGGGTAGTTTCCAGTCGATCCTGCGCCTTGTCCTGGGCACTCGACGCTCGTACAACTGCAAGCTTTCGCTGATATTCGTTGATCAGCGTATTCTTCTCCTCGACGAGTTGCTTTAGGCTTGCGATAGTCGCCTGAGCGGCCTGCTGCAACTCCGCCTGATCCTTTTCATACAATCCGACCTTCTGCCGCATCAACGGGGAATGGCTTCCGCGCTCCGATTCTCGCTGGTTATCGGACACTCTCTTTTCTCCGCCTGTGAGCCCGGACCGAGCGTACTGCAAGTCCAGCTCCAGATCTTCGTACTTGCAACGAAGCTCACGTTTCTCAGATTCCAGCTCACCATTTAGCCGTAGCAATTCCGAGACGCGAGCTTGAACAGTCTCTACTTGACGCATGAGGTCTTCATTCAGTGTCTTTGTCTCACTCAGCTCTGTCTGCAGCCGGATTTCCTTCTCTTTGGACCCTGTCGCCTTCATCGCAGCTTCAAGCTGCCCCATGAGCAATCGTTCTCGAGTTTCAAGGGCGTCTACACGGCTTTTCAGACGCCCAACTTCACTTTGGTTACCCCGTTGCTGTTTCAATTCAAGCAAAGGCAGCTGTGCTTGTTTGTCCTCCAAATCTTTCTCCAGCTGCTTACGGCGCTGCTGCTCGACTAATATTTCATCCTCCAGGGCATCCAAGCGCTTCCGGAAAGCTTCCCATTTCGTGTTCCGCGCCGTCCAGTCACGCTCCTTCACTTGCGCTATTGCGTTCTCCAGAACTTGAGCTCTATCACTTGTTCTTTCGCGAATAGCCGACAACTCTTGAGCTTTTTTCTCCATCTCGAGCTCAAGTCGTTGATTCTTCAACAGTGGCTGCTGCTGTGCTTCGGTTACTAGGTCGTACTGCACCAGGAACTGCTGGTAAGTTGTCTTAATCTGCATCAGCTGGTGTTGAAGTTCTCCTACAATGGCGTGATCTTCCGAGGACGCCATCAAGTCGCGCAGCTGTTCCTCTTGCTGCTCTCGATTGCCTTGATTTTGAGCAGCTCGCTTCGTCAGCACATTCGCTTGAGATGCTGCTAGCGAGGCAATGTCCTTATACTTAGCACACTCCAGCGCGAGGCTTTCATAGAGCTGCTCGACCTCGTTGATTCTCTCGTACAAAAGCGTGTTCTCATCGCGCAGCTCGTTGTCGCCTCCAGAGCCTCCGCTAACCACCGAAGTTTGAACTATCTCATCACTGACGAGCAAGCTATTTGCTTTCGACTCTTCGAGCTCCTTCACGCGATCGATTTGCACGCGCAACTCGTTTTCCAGCTGACCTATACGATCCTGAAGGACTACTGGATCGCCGCCTTCGCTACTCCCAGCACCACTTCTTGCACTTTTCTCCGCTTGCAACACCATGAGGCTGTGCTGAGTTCGGCTCAGCTGTGCTGGCAAATCGTACATCTCTAGATACCTCGCATGCATCTCTGCATAGGTCTCACTGAGTGCGTTGTACTTCTTCAGGACACCGGTCATTGCACGCTGCTGTTTGTCGGCAAATTCGCGCAAAACACTCTTTTCAAGCGTTTTCTCCATGCGTTCAATCATCTCGTCAGCCCCTTGCTTCCACGTCTCCAGGTACAGAACCCGATACTTCAGCGTCTTTTCCATCTCACTCCACTCGCGCTGTAGCAATTTGTTGTGATCTGTACTGCTGCGCCATTCGTTATGAAGCTGCTGGTACTTCCGTTTGAGTCGCGCTTCGTTCACTTCATAAGCTGCAATCTTTCGGGTCAGCTCAATTACTTCCGATCGCAATTGTGCTTCGTTCCCACTGATAAGTGCGTCACTTGACATTGTTCCACTCTGCTCATTTTGAACTCCGAGCAGATGCAAGCCAGCTTCATACCGTTGGCACTTGATCTTGAAGTCCTTGTTTTCTTGTGCCTTCTCTTCCAGTTCGTTACGGAGCTTGATCTCCGCGTTGGCGTATTGCGTATGCATCTGGAAGAAATGCTGGTACAAAATCGTGTGCTGGTCCATAAGAGACTGGAATACCTCTTCATGCTGACGTAGTTGCTGCTGAAGTTCTTCATTACGTGCCTCCGTTGCCACTAACTCGTCTAGGCACAAGTTTAACTCCCGCAGAAAGTCAATCTGCTGGACCATTTCGTCCTCGCTCTCAAAAGCGATATTATCGACCGTCGCACGAGGTAGTGGCGAGCGTGGAGACGCTGAGTTTGCCGGGGCAGCTACTTTGATATCGCCACTAGTCTTGCTGTCATTGGATGCCGTAGCTGGAGAAGAACTTTCGTCTCGAACGATAGTTTTAACTGGAGCATCCGGCGTCGTAGAAGGCAATAACGAACCCCTCTGAGCTTGAAGAATGGCAAACTGCGCTTCGATGGCTTTCGCGACAACCAGCGCAATATTATCAGCATGATCAGTCCACACATCACGAGGTTTGCAATCCGGACTAACAGGCGAGGATGATTGCTTTGGTTCTGTTGCGAGTTGTTCAGTTCGTGCTGCGGGGGCCTTTTTGTTCTTCTTAACGATAGGAACCGCTTCATCTTCATCTTCTGAAGCTGATAGCGAAATAACATCACTCTCTTCTTCATCATCGTCGACTTGGGTTTGAATATGGACTGATGGTTTCTTCTTGGCCACACGAGGAGAAGTCTGGGTTTCCGCGTACGATTGGGCGTGAAGCTCGACCACAGGTTTGTCTTCAGCTGTATTAGGAGTTCCACCCACGCTTTTCGCTGAGTTATCAGGCAGCGTCACGTCCTTCTTGCTACTCTTTTGCTCGCGTTCCTTTCGCAACGACGCGATTTCAGCTCGCAGGTGGTAGATTACTCCTTCTTGCCGTTGAGACTTCGCCTTGACCGATTCAAGGGCCCGCAGCAGTTCACCTCTGACATCGTCCGGACTGGTAACAGGCAGAGTTACCGCTGGAGACAACGGTTTCGACTGCGCAATCTCTAATTCATTGTGGAGTTGTTCGATGTCTTTCAGTAGTAGCGCGTTTTCTTCGCTCCTGATGTCAAGTTTTCGTTCGAGTTCCTCGATAACATCCTGCAGATCCTTTGCTCGTCGGGCTGACTGCTCCATATCATCGCAGGCTCTCACGACGTCAGATTCAGTCTGCAGAAGACGTTTGGCCACCTCAGGTGTGTGTTTTACGCGATCAATAAACTCTTCAACGGCACTCCACTGTTCTGTAGTCAGCCCATGCTGCTCGTAGAGCTTGTGGCCAGTGAGGCGCGCTTGGTCTCTTAGTTTCTGCAGAAACCGCAGTCTTTCCGCCTCCAGCTCATGAATCTGGGTTTCCATCTGCTTCATGACTGCTTCGTTAATCGCTAGCTGACCCTTTAAGTGATCTGCAATCGCAAGATCATCGTACTCGAATGTGGCAGGTTTGCCCACTTCGGCCTTCAAGCGCTCGAACGCCACATGCAGCTTACCAGCTGCGTCCACTTGCTCATTGAGTTCTTGACGCAGCTTGATGTTCATTTGCTGCTGCTGCTCAAGCTGTGCACGCAATTTCTTCTGATACTTTACAACGTCCTCCAACCCAGCCTGCTGTTCGTATCTGGCATTCCATTCCTCCGCCTCAACAAGCTGCTTCTCAACGATACCCTGTCGAAGCTCCAAGTCCTGCACGAGCTCACGCTGTTCCTTCAGACGCCGCTTCAGGGTTGTGTTTTCTTGCTCGAAACCTTCCAGCTTTGATTTCTGCTTCTGCAGTGCGCTCTGAACAGCGCTCTCCACCACTGCGTCGACATTTAAATGCTCTGCAAGACTTTCCAGGTCACTCTGCTGCTGGAGGATGCGCTGATTCAGCTCCAGAATGGTGCTCTTGTCCCGGATGCGCAATTCTTGCAGCATTTCAAGCTGCTTCTCCAGATCTTCCATGGGCGCACTAGCACCACCACGAACTGTATCTTCCTCTTCTTCCTCTTGCAGCGCCTTCTTACTGTCCTGGACTTGCTGTTGCTGTTGTTCATGCAGCATTTGCTGCTGCTTCAACTTGCGCCGCATCTCATCCAGCTCAGCAAGCAGCACGGCCTTCTCCATCTCAAACTTGGCTTTGGCATCGTTCATCAGCGCGTCCACGTCGCTCTCCCGCTCGTCCATCTCGATCAACTTGGCCTCCACACTCACCTTCTCCTGCTCCAGCTGCTCCACCTTGGCGTGCAGCTGCGTGATCTCCAGAGTCTGCTCGTCCACCGCGTCTCGGTACGCGTCCAGCTGATCCTGCATCGTCTGCATGGACGCCTGGTACTCCTTGGCCTGCTCCGTCATCTTCTTCACTGCCTCTTGCATCTCCTGTGCTTCATCTCGGAGCTCCTCGTTCTCCTTCAGCGCCGTGTACAGCTCGCTGCGCTTGTCCTTGCTCTCCTCCGCCACCTGCACTACTTGTCGCTGCGCCTTCAAGCCGGCAGTGGCCTCTCTTTCGAGCTGCGCCTGTAGCTCCTTGAGTTTAGCCTCCAGAGCTTCATTTTGCGTCTTTAGCGCCTCAAATTCCTGCTCTACAGGCCTGGAATTAGGCTTCTCCGGCGACGTTTTAGCGCTCTGCTCGATGCCGTCGCTCTGCAGTTTGTCCAGCGCCTCCTGCAGCTGCGCCGTGAGCCCCGCCACCGTCTCGTTCAGGCGGACGATCTCCTCGTCCTTCTGCAGCGCTGCCTTCTGCGTCTGCAGCTCGCGCGCACTCGCGTCCGCCTGCAGCGCCGCCAGCTGCTCGTTCTCGCCCTCCAGCTCCAGCAGGTCGCCGCGCAGCAGCACCAGCTCCTCGCGCATCGACATGCAGTCGGCCCGCGCGCATCTCGCCGAGGACGCCGCGCTCTCGGCGTCGCCTGGGGTCGCCATGATCGATCAACCGCCCAGTGCGGACAGACGCATGGCGCAGTCTTTTGGATGTATCGATATGATCGCGCCACGCCTCCTGGTGTATCGATATGATGGTGCCACACCTCTTGGTGTGTCGTTATGATGCTGCCACTTGCAAATCCCGTCAAACTCGTTGGCCTCAGGGGAGCCGCAGGTTCGGCCACTCATTCGTTGGGGTTTCTCCCGGTAAGGCTCATGGATGCGCCTGTCGGCGTCGCTCCTGTTGACGCGACTAACCCTCCTTGCCGTGCGCAGCTTCATCTAGGTGTTTAGGATGCTGCAGCGCTTCGCCGTCCGCTCGGGCGCGGCCTCCGTGGCGCGCCAGCAGGGCCGCCAGACCGCCGCCAAGCTGCAGGTGGCCTGCTTCTCGTCCGAGGACGACTGGCGCCTCTCGGACGACGACTTCGACGAGGGCGCCGACAAGATCATCGACAAGGACCGCAAGGACTCGCTGCCGCGCCGCCAGATCATGCCCGAGGCCGCCAAGAAGAGCCGCTTCATGGCCGTGGCGCCCGAGAACCGTGGCAAGGTGCGCCGCCGCCTCTTGGACGAGTTCAAGAAGGACGGGCTCACGCTCGCGGACCCGGACCAGCCCGGCCAGTACCTGACCCCCGACGCCGGCATCCTGCGCGACATGCGCGCCATGAACAAGGAGGGCGACGAGATGGAGTTCGCCGACGAGGACGAGGAGGGCGAGCTCAACCTCGGCCGCATGGGCCTGCTGCGCCAGATCGTGCACGTGGACCAGGTGCAGAAGGTGACGACGCAGGAGCGGATCGTCAACTTCCGCGCGCTCGTGGTGGTCGGCAACATGCGCGGCGTCGCCGGATATGCCGTGGGCAAGGGCTCGTCGCCGCCCATTGCCATCCAGCGCGGCACCAAGCTCGCCATGAAGCGCTTCACGTACGTCGACCGCTTCGACGACCGCACGCTGTACCACGAAGTGCGCGGCAAGTGGAACAGCTCGACGCTGTTCCTGCGCCCGGCGCCCAAGGACAAGGGACTCACGGTCAGCGATACGGTGGCTTGTGTGCTGGACTGCTTCGGCATCACGGACGTCGTGTCCAAGACCCACGGCCAGCGCAACCCCTTCACCGTCGTCAAGGCCACGTTCGACGCCCTGTCCAAGCACGAGACGGCTGAGGAGATGGCTCTCCGAACGGGCCACTCGCTCGTGGAACTCAGCACCCTGGCGCGCACGCGCAACCTGTAGGCTTCGAGAGCATGTTAGCGAGACAGGATGCTGGATTTAAGGGAAGGAAAGGGTGTTCATTGCGCCGTTGCATAGAGACAAAGTGGCTTGGGCCAGGAGTTTGTGATTGCTAGACTGTGGAAGAACGAGGCAAACGATACGATACCGAGCGAGCGGTGAACGTTGTGTTTTGATTAGACCGAACACGCCCGTTTCCCTGGTTGAAGCTTGTGAGGGTACGCGTGCGGCGCTTCATCTATTAGCTGTGCCGATGGAATGCTCCTGCAAGCAGCACAGTCGAAGACCAATCTGGTCACGTTGTGCCAGCGGCAGTCTTCTCGTAATATCTGTCGCTTGACTTTACAGCGTCCACCAGCCAGTTCATCGCTCCTTCAATGCCCTCCCTGTATGAGCGGCAGTACAGTTAGCCGCGCAAGGCTTACTGAAGACACAAATGAGAGTCGACTCACCTTGTCAGTGCACAGATCGGGTAGCTAGCCACTGCGCCTTGGTGGCTCTCTAAATCTAGCATTCCAGAAATGTGGTTCACCGTCCGCGCATTCTCCAAGTCCATCTTGTTGGCCAGCACGAGCAACGGCACTCCTGACAGCTCCGAGTTCGACAGCATAGCGTCTGCAACACAAATTAATCCAACGAAGTCAATCAACCGCACTGTCACCACCCGCCGTTTACAACAGTACAGTACGTACGCAATGTCGCCTTGGCTTCCTGGAACCGTCCTTCATTGGCCGAGTCGATCACGAACACGATGCCATGGCTCTCGCTGTAGTATTTGTTCCAGATAGCTCGCAGACGCTCCTGTGCACATACATCCTCATCAGCCTCAAGTCTACCATGGCAGCTGAATTACTTCCAATCTAGCAGTCAAACCCACCTGTCCTCCGAGATCCCAGAAAATGACCCTGGACCGCTTGATATCAACTCGAGCGACTGCGCGACGAGCCTGTCAATTCCTCCCTTCACCATCTGTGACGTCTCCAATTCAGCCCACGTACTGTTGAGCCCCACAGTGGGCGGGATCTTGTCCAACGGGATGCCTGGCTTCTTGCCGAAGATGCCTTTAAGCTGCTCCAGCAGCGTCTGCGCATAAATAAAAAATCGTATCCCACGGGAAAAATCAGACCCACGATTCCCCCCATTGACCGGACGCGCACCCACCGCAACTTACCTACCGTTTTTCCCGCGTCGTCCAGCCCCACGATCAGCAGATGCAGCTCCGCCTTGGAGAATAAATAGTTCCACAGCCCCCAGAAGAGCGAGAACATGGCGGCGGTCCTCAAGACGAATGCAAATGTGGAGATGACGGCGAAGCCAATTTAAGTATTTATGTACATATCGTGTGGAACAAGCAATACAGTACTTGACATAACCTATCATATTTTGTAAACATGTGCTCAGCAATTCACACTTATCCACTTTCTTGTGTTTACTTATCAGCATTTCAACATATTTTTCATGAGTAAAAAGTTCCTATACTTATGACCACTACGGTACTTAGCCGATAAAGAAGACTCTCACTGCCACTTTCACGAAACACTCGAGTCGGACTCACTAGCTAGCACCATGCAGATCCAGATCAAGGTACGCGCGCGCACCGCGGAGCAGGGGGACAGCGCAATCTCTATCGTGCCTCTAATACTAACTCATTGCTGGTGCTGCTCGATTCGTTGGCGTAGACGCTCACGGGCCGGAAACAGACGTTCAACTTTGAGCCGGACAACACGGTACGATAGATAGATGGATCTGGGTTGAGTCAAGCTGGTCGGATATCTCCGCTGACGCCTGTATCCCCCTTTGGTCTGGTGCTGCGCCTTTAGATCCTGCACGTGAAGCAGGCGCTGCAGGAGAAGGAGGGCATCCAGGTGGACCAGATCCGCCTCATCTACAGCGGCAAGCAGCTGTACGTCGGCGTGTCTGCCCTTCACCCCCAGGGCAATGAAGCGGAGCTGTAGCTAACGTATTTATCGCTGTGTTGGGTTTATTCATGCAGTGCGGATGACAAGACGCTGCAGGACTACAACGTGGCTGCGGGCGGCACCATCCACATGGTGCTGCAGCTGCGTGGCGGATTCTAGACGGACGAGAAGGTTCCGCGGACCTTCGAGCGTTTTGAAAGCCGTCGAGGCGAGTGTTTGGATCTGAACGCAGTTAGAGTAACACGCGGGAGGTCTCCACTAGCCCCGAAAGATCCCAGTATGAGCAGCATCCAGCACTGCTGATAAACACGCCTTGCACTGAAAATCTCTTCTGTCATTTCTTCTTCTTCTCTCGTTAACGTGCATGCAGTTTACTGTGCGCTTGTAGGCTTCGCTGCATTGGCGTTGGCAGCAGCGTTTCGGGCGTCGAGCTGCTGCTTGATCAGCGGCTCCAGCTGCTTCTTCTCGGCCAGCGTCTTGAGCAGTTGGATGATGAACGGGATGTAGTTGTGCTTGCGGCGCTTGTTCTCCAGCGCCCAGTTCTCCCGCTTCTGCTGCTCGAACCCCAGATCCGCTTGGATCTGGGCCGCCTGCTGCTCGCTCCCACCGGCCTCAATGATCGCCTGGAGCTGCTCCTCGTACGTCTGTATTCGATTGCGCACCAGCGCGAGCAGATTGAAGCGGATCTCCGACGCCGCGTACTTCTCGATCCTCTTCTGGATCACCGGACACGCCACCTGCAGCCACGAGTCGCGGTTCGCCGCGTCCGGGACCTCCCCCAGACAGATCGGACCTTCGCGCAGACCGTCCAGTTCGTACACCTTGCCATTCACCGGCACGTACGCCACGAAGTGGTAGACGTCGTCGTCCTCCGTGTCCTTGCGCTCCTCCACGACGAAGGGCTCGGCGCGCGCGAACGAGTTGTGCGCCAGCCGGATCTTGTCGCTGTTGGAGATGGCCAGGCCCTTGAGGTCCGACGGGAAGTCGCCCGTGAAGGCCTTGAACTCGCTCAGCGTCTCGCCCAGCTCGATGTCCTGGCAGTTGAGCAGGATGGACAGGATGGCCTGCGTGGCGCAGGCGTTGCTGATCACCTGCTTGGCGAAGAACAGCCCGTCCTCCTCGCTGGCGAACACGGGCGGCTCGGCGTCTTCCCCATGGTTGGACTCGTACTTGAAGAGGAAGACCAACCCGTACACGGGCGATAGGTCGGCGAACTGCTGCTCGTCCAGCGTGTAGAGCTCCTCCACCTGCACGCCCTTGACGCCGATGTCCTCGATGAGGGCGGTGAACACGCCTGCAGAAGAGATATATAGGGGTTAGTGGGAGGGAGCGGAGGCTCAGCGAGAGCGCACTAAGTGAGTGCCGCGTACCGGGGTCGGACTCGATGGTACACCAGGACATGTTTTCTTCTCTTGAAAGATACCAGAAATACACGGACCAAATTGGTGGTGTGGCGTACATAAACTAATTTGAGCTTGACAAATTCATCAAAGGGACAACTTTCCAGGTGGCCATTATGTCTACAAGGACACTCGATACATGTAATGCTGGGCAAGTGTAAGGACAGAGGTCTGCCAAGACGTTACCGGTATATTCATGTGTCGTTGTGCCAAAGTTTTGGTCATTTGTCCTCGGGAAAATCTGATGGGGGTTAAGGAGTACAAGACTTGTGTTCTGATTGAGTCACCTATCAACGCATCTAAGATGGAGGGGGCGAGGGAGGAGCTCGCGGGCGAGCTGCGCGCCTTGGAGGGAAGGTCGACCGCCTCCTTTGAAGGAGACGACGCGGTGGACGACATGTGGAACTTCCTGCTGCCGTGGTGCGACCACATCAGGGGCGCTGTGGGCTTGTGCGAGTGCGAGAGCTCGGACTCGCCGTTCGACCTAAGAATCCGTGCTCCTCGGAATCAAAAGCCAAAGATTCAAGCTGCGAGAGGCGCTGAGGCTGCTCTCGGTCGTGGCCTTGGTGGACAGTGACGCGTGGAAGAAACTGCTGATGTGGATAGTCGAGGATCCGCCGTCGCCGAGGAGTTCGACGGATCCCGCACTCGCTTTCAACTGGAGTTACCGTACGTCAGACGGCCTCCTAGGAGCGACGTTGGCAGCATGCTACGTGGTATCTTTGTGCAGGATGCGGGCCCCGAACACGCACTTGACGGCGACTTGGCGTTCTTCTGTGGGGCCGAGCAACATGACCGGCGTAGCAGAGAATACAAGGCGGCGTTGAAGGAGCTCGTCGAGATTTGGAGGGGGACACGAGAGCTAGGAGCTGTTCCAGACGAAATTGATGTCCCAATCACGATCCAAGTGCGTCCAACTCATGCGGAAAGTGGGGGAGGTTTGGCTAACTACTCGCAGAATGTGTTGAGGGTGGTTCGCCATCTCCGAGACCAGACGTGGCCCCCGATGGGGCGGGGGAATGACCTTCCGAGAGTGACGTTTGTTTTGGAATCGATTGGAGTAGAACTCGGATCGGTATTAAGTAAGCCGGACGTGATACCGTTAGTGGAGACCATAGCTTGCGATGGTATTTGCTGCTCGGGGATGCGTTTTTGGTCGGAGCTTGGTTACACGTTAGCAGCTCCTGCGAAGCATGCAGCCGCAAGGAGATCTACACCTTTGTGCGGCCTACTTCGTACCAACGTGCAATCAAATCCGAAAGTCGCAAAATTCATATTGCAAATTTCTAGTTAGCAACTTCAATTACGCATTCAAAGATAGAATTACGGCAATCAAATTCGTATAGTAAAGTAGGCTACTACTACTGGTCCGACGAGCCCTGCTACATGCCGTACACTATGTCCTCGTTGTTCGCCTTGGTGACGAAGTCACGACAGTGCAGCTCCATGCTGGCCACCAGCGCTGGGGTCATCACGTTCATGTTAGCGGTCGCGGCGCGCTCCAGGATGTGGATCTGGCGTTCCGAAATGGAGAGGATCTCACCGTTGCTGTCTGGCTCACGCGAGCGATCGTAGATTGCGTGGCGATCCAGAGCCAAGTCTCGCTTAATGCGGGATTTTAGGACGCTGCTTCTCGAGGACGGTGTGGCGAGTAACGCGGCCTTGGAGGGACATCTGCGAAGAAGGCGAATTGCGAAGTGAGCTCCACTCGGTCGGCGTCGGCTAAGTGCGCGGCAAACCGCGCGCCCTTGCTTTTGGCGCGAGCGCAGCTCCGTCTTCCGTTTTGGCGTGAGCACAGCACGCCAGCTTACGTAGCCATGGAGATCTTGGACCCCTGGTCCAACTTTGATTGCCGTAATTCTATCTTTGAATGCGTAATTGAAGTTGCTAACTAGAAATTTGCAATATGAATTTTGCGACTTTCGGATTTGATTGCACGTTGGTACGAAGTAGGCCGCACAAAGGTGTATAGGAAGATTACTCACGAGTATTTTTGGTGGATCAGCGGAAGGGAATGGAGGACAAGTAATGACTGGCCCGCGAGCCAGCCCGTCGACAACTCCCCGTCAATTCAGATTGGACTCAGTAAGCATATCCTGCCTCCCCTTTAGGACATGGTTCTTTGAGCGGGCGTGCTCTGGAGCAGCCGTGAACCAAACCACTAACCACGTATCGATTTCAATGGTCTTGAGCGAGGAACAAGCCACAGAAGTCGTCACGTGGAGGTGGCGGTGGATTTGCTACGGATTCTTTTCTAAGTATCCGCAGCGCCTGTCATGCCTGAAGACACTTACTCTTCAAGATGTGATTCTTACTGGACAAGATGTTGACGCGATGCGAGAGGTTATGACGTCGAACTATCCGGAAGAAGACCTGCTGGGTTTGCCACACCTGCAGCAGGCGCGGAATAGCTATTTCATCAAGCCAAAGACACGCATACGACTACACACCCATGAGCCCGAATGAAACCCTCGAGAAAAACGCGGCCTTCACAGTTGCCAGAAAGATTCGTGGTATCAAGCTCCTGACGGATAAAATTGAGAATGGATGGGTAGATGTGCTGGTACCTGGGTTTGGGAAGTGCCAAATTCGCCGATCTAACCTCGTTCAAGAGGAGGATTTACCCGATGGTACACTGTCGACAGGCATTTCGTCGCTGATGCTTGTGCTCAAGACCGATCCGGATGACGACGTTCTGTGCCGATTTCTGGAACTGATTGGATCGTCACTGGTGTATTTGTCAATCCAAGTTTCGAACTTTCGCACATCCATGCTGGAGAGAATTGCTGCCAACTGCCCGCATTTGAGAGAAATTGCCATATCGACGCCTGCTTTCAAGATTCGATTTGAAGTTCGTGACAGCAGATTACGGAACCAGATAACGTTGCACCCACAGGCGCCAGCCTCGTTGGGAGTCTCGTCATGTTTTTTCTGTGCGCCCCAGTCCTCATTGGCTAGTTCGGTGAGGCGTCTACGTGTTCACATCGGGACCGACGCTAATGGTACCGGTACACTGCCATTCCAGGAGTTTTGTATAGCACTGCTATACATGCTTAGACGGAACCGCACGGTGGAATACCTTGATATCGTGGTGTCGGACTTCGAGCTGACCCAGTATCAAGCAGCATTAGCATTGCTGTTCAAGAAGTACCATCGCCAGAGCCTGCCTGTCATTAGGAAAGCGTTGCCTTTGAAAGCGTAGCTCGCCTTTATCAGCGTGATGACACCACCAAGCCGTCAAGACCGAAGTGCCAGCATTTCGAAGCGCACTCGGAGCTTACGTTGCCTCTATGAGCTGGATAGGAACACAACCGAGTTAATAGAGAACTGTAGTTTCTGGAGCTATTTTGGACTTGGAGCTACATAAAATCCGGATTAACTCAGATAATCCGGAAATATATTACGGATAAAATACCGGCGGATACTCCAATACTTAACTCCAGTGGAGCTATCGGGTACCCCTGTAACTCCACGGAGTCTATTACGCCATTTTAGCTCCGAAATTTGAAATAGCTCCAGAAACTACAGTTCTCTAATATTCACGTTTGCAGCTATCCCCCCAGTCCGCAAAGTGTATTATCGACACAATGACCTCCGGGAGCTCAGAAACGATCATTTCCCGATATAAATGGTGACAGGTATTGGAAGAAATACGACAACGCTGGATCGGTCCCACAATGTGACCAAACCCGGATGGAAGAGCACGAGTTTGGCATTTTAATGTTATTAAAATAACAAATTGCGGTAATGAGATCGATTTTGATACTTCGAAATATGTTGGTTACTTGTACGATTCATTGGTATCACGTGCAAAAAATACTGATTTGTTGGGTTGAATGGAGTACCTTGATACGTTGAGCAATTCACCTCACTGTACGCAGCCCCACCATATCGACGAAGTTATTGCCCGGATGCCGAACGCCGTAGCTGCATCGATGTCGAAAAGTGAACCGGTTTCGTGGGATTTTTTGTGGGATTAATTGGAGTTGAGATACCTAGATGGATAATCCCAGGATATCTAGGTACGCTCGAAATCAATTCAAGACAAACGACAGACATTGAAACCTTCCAGTTACAACCGAATCGACATACTGCACTATGGCGAGTTCCCGACGCTCCTCTCTACAGTACGTTTTTATAATTCGGCGCAGGACGCAAAAAAATAACAATCACGAAACACTCGCTTCAAAAAGGAGAAAGCATTATATTTTGGTTTTGAATTCTAGGCGAATGCGCCAAGGTACAGCTGATGAACCTTAATTAATTGGTGCAAGACGCCAGAGAGGTAAGAAGGTAGGTAGGTAGGTAGGTAGGTAGGTAGGTAGGTGGCTGCGCGGTCGGCCAATTTAGCAGTAGTAGAGACCGCCGAAAGGCATGCCGAGACCGCAGCTGCCGCCGTAGAGACCCGCGCCGAACATGTTCCAGTAGCCCATGGGGTAGGCCCAGCCAGGGACGCCGCCGCACATGAACCCGAAGCGGTAGGGTCCGTAGCCACCCCAGCCACCCCAGTTGCCCCAGCCGCCGCCGAGACCCCAGCCAGCGCCAAGACCCAGACCCCAGCCGCCGTACTGCTCCTTCTTGTCGGCGTCACCATCGTGCTTGTTGTCAGCTTCCTTGGCGGCGATCGCGGCGGCGGCACCCGCAGGCGGGTCGATCTTCTCACTGGTGCCCATGAGCGTGACACCATCGGGCAACTCGGACGCTTCAAGCTTCTGGAGCGCTTCGGCGGCGGATTTGACGGCCGGCAGATTGCCGGCAGCAGCAGGTTGGGCGGCGGCGGCGACGACACCAACGACGGCAAGAGCGGCAACGAGGAAGGTGCTGAACTTCATGGCTGTGATGCGGTGCGGTTCGGCGCTGAATTCGGAGATCGGGTGGTACTCGACTTGCTCAAGTGGAGGCAGATCGTGTTGTGGGTCCGAAGATGACGGCGAAAAGGCGGGCGCAGTGTTGGAACGAACGAGTCTGCTTCGATCGGGGAGGTTCGTTTGGCAAAGTCGCCGAATTTGCGGGCGAATTCTCGCGGCGATGAAGTAAGTGGTAGTGATTGATGCGCTTCTTGTCGGCGCGCCTCAATCGCTGCCAAACGGCAAATACAGTAGCGCCAACGGCTCCGAAATATGGTTCATACAAAAGCACAATTGTGGCAGTTTATTCGGAAAAAGTAAACCTCAAACCGAGTGGACGTAGGTACTACTGTAGTAGCATGCTGCTAGGCTAGCACAAGCACAACAGGTGAACTTAAATACATGTCTTACTGCCCGGCATTTTAACAAATGCTGAACATTGGTGTGGAAAAGGAAACTGATACCGACAGATTTTTGTTGGATTAGTTAAATTAGTTGGATATCTGGATGGAACATTTCAGGATTTCTAGGAGTCTAGATACTATACCAGACACCGAACAGATACAGAATCCCCAGCCAAACGAACTACAGCCGATCGCCGAAGCCACGCTGCCGATAACATTGCACAATCTGGCTCAAGACGCACAAACTCACGAAAACCCCGCTTCAAAAAGGAGAAAGCATTATATTTTGGTTTTGAATTCTAGGCGAATGCGCCAAGGTACAGCTGATGAACCTTAATTAATTGGTGCAAGACGCCAGAGAGGTAAGAAGGTAGGTAGGTAGGTAGGTAGGTAGGTAGGTAGGTAGGTGGCTGCGCGGTCGGCCAATTTAGCAGTAGTAGAGACCGCCGAAAGGCATGCCGAGACCGCAGCTGCCGCCGTAGAGACCCGCGCCGAACATGTTCCAGTAGCCCATGGGGTAGGCCCAGCCAGGGACGCCGCCGCACATGAACCCGAAGCGGTAGGGTCCGTAGCCACCCCAGCCACCCCAGTTGCCCCAGCCGCCGCCGAGACCCCAGCCAGCGCCAAGACCCAGACCCCAGCCGCCGTACTGCTCCTTCTTGTCGGCGTCACCATCGTGCTTGTTGTCAGCTTCCTTGGCGGCGATCGCGGCGGCGGCACCCGCAGGCGGGTCGATCTTCTCACTGGTGCCCATGAGCGTGACACCATCGGGCAACTCGGACGCTTCAAGCTTCTGGAGCGCTTCGGCGGCGGATTTGACGGCCGGCAGATTGCCGGCAGCAGCAGGTTGGGCGGCGGCGGCGACGACACCAACGACGGCAAGAGCGGCAACGAGGAAGGTGCTGAACTTCATGGCTGTGATGCGGTGCGGTTCGGCGCTGAATTCGGAGATCGGGTGGTACTCGACTTGCTCAAGTGGAGGCAGATCGTGTTGTGGGTCCGAAGATGACGGCGAAAAGGCGGGCGCAGTGTTGGAACGAACGAGTCTGCTTCGATCGGGGAGGTTCGTTTGGCAAAGTCGCCGAATTTGCGGGCGAATTCTCGCGGCGATGAAGTAAGTGGTAGTGATTGATGCGCTTCTTGTCGGCGCGCCTCAATCACTGCCAAACGGCAAATACAGTAGCGCCAACGGCTCCGAAATATGGTTCATACAAAAGCACAATTGTGGCAGTTTATTCGGAAAAAGTAAACCTCAAACCGAGTGGACGTAGGTACTACTGTAGTAGCATGCTGCTAGGCTAGCACAAGCACAACAGGTGAACTTAAATACATGTCTTACTTCCCGGCATTTTAACAAATGCTGAACATTGGTGTGGAAAAGGAAACTGATACCGACAGATTTTTGTTGGATTAGTTGGATTAGTTGGATATCTGGATGGAACATTTCAGGATTTCTAGGAGTCTAGATACTATACCAGACACCGAACAGATACAGAATCCCCAGCCAAACGAACTACAGCCGATCGCCGAAGCCACGCTTCCGATAACATTGCACAATCTGGCTCAAGACGCACAAACTCACGAAAACCCCGCTTCAAAAAGGAGAAAGCATTATATTTTGGTTTTGAATTCTAGGCGAATGCGCCAAGGTACAGCTGATGAACCTTAATTAATTGGTGCAAGACGCCAGAGAGGTAAGAAGGTAGGTAGGTAGGTAGGTAGGTAGGTAGGTAGGTGGCTGCGCGGTCGGCCAATTTAGCAGTAGTAGAGACCGCCGAAAGGCATGCCGAGACCGCAGCTGCCGCCGTAGAGACCCGCGCCGAACATGTTCCAGTAGCCCATGGGGTAGGCCCAGCCAGGGACGCCGCCGCACATGAACCCGAAGCGGTAGGGTCCGTAGCCACCCCAGCCACCCCAGTTGCCCCAGCCGCCGCCGAGACCCCAGCCAGCGCCAAGACCCAGACCCCAGCCGCCGTACTGCTCCTTCTTGTCGGCGTCACCATCGTGCTTGTTGTCAGCTTCCTTGGCGGCGATCGCGGCGGCGGCACCCGCAGGCGGGTCGATCTTCTCACTGGTGCCCGTGAGCGTGACACCATCGGGCAACTCGGACGCTTCAAGCTTCTGGAGCGCTTCGGCGGCGGATTTGACGGCCGGCAGATTGCCGGCAGCAGCAGGTTGGGCGGCGGCGGCGACGACACCAACGACGGCAAGAGCGGCAACGAGGAAGGTGCTGAACTTCATGGCTGTGATGCGGTGCGGTTCGGCGCTGAATTCGGAGATCGGGTGGTACTCGACTTGCTCAAGTGGAGGCAGATCGTGTTGTGGGTCCGAAGATGACGGCGAAAAGGCGGGCGCAGTGTTGGAACGAACGAGTCTGCTTCGATCGGGGAGGTTCGTTTGGCAAAGTCGCCGAATTTGCGGGCGAATTCTCGCGGCGATGAAGTAAGTGGTAGTGATTGATGCGCTTCTTGTCGGCGCGCCTCAATCGCTGCCAAACGGCAAATACAGTAGCGCCAACGGCTCCGAAATATGGTTCATACAAAAGCACAATTGTGGCAGTTTATTCGGAAAAAGTAAACCTCAAACCGAGTGGACGTAGGTACTACTGTAGTAGCATGCTGCTAGGCTAGCACAAGCACAACAGGTGAACTTAAATACATGTCTTACTTCCCGGCATTTTAACAAATGCTGAACATTGGTGTGGAAAAGGAAACTGATACCGACAGATTTTTGTTGGATTAGTTGGATTAGTTGGATATCTGGATGGAACATTTCAGGATTTCTAGGAGTCTAGATACTATACCAGACACCGAACAGATACAGAATCCCCAGCCAAACGAACTACAGCCGATCGCCGAAGCCACGCTTCCGATAACATTGCACAATCTGGCTCAAGACGCACAAACTCACGAAAAAATGCGCCAAGGTACAGCTGATGAACCTTAATTAAT